CCCCAAAAAAAAGTCAAGGGAGGTAGCCAGTCAGGTCAGCTATTTGCAGTGATTAGGGCTATTGTCCTGTTGTAAAAGCTGTCATTGAGTCAGTTTATCCAGGACCTCAGCAGCCTGAACCTCCTGCCCGACGGCAGCAGCTTAAACACCCGGTGTCCTGGGTGTGTGCAGTCCCGTAGGATGCTGCGTGCCCTCTTGAGACAGCGAGTGCTGTACAGGTCCTTCAGGGAGGGAAGAGGATGTCCAATGATTTTTTGGGCCATATTGATGACCCTCTGGAGTGCCTTTCTGTATGCTGTGGTGCAGCTGGAGAACCACACACCGATATAATATGTCAGCACACTTTCAATGGAGCAGCGGTAGAAGACGGTCAGCAGCTCCTTCTTCAGGTCCATTTTTCTGAGGATTCTCAGAAAGTGCAGACGCTGTTGGGCCTTCTTTAAAACCGCAGAGGTGTCTCCATTGGAGGTCTGTGTCTATGTGCACACCCAGAAACTTGAAACTGGAGACCCTTTCCGCGCACTCCCCGTTGATGCTGACAGGCTGCAGCTCAGACTTCCTCCTTCTGAAGTCAGCTACTAGTTCTTTTGTCTTGGTGGTATTTCACCTGACTCAAAAGGCAGATTTGCAAAACATGCAACGTAGCCAATTGCCCTTCTGCAGAAAGGGCAGTAGTGTTAATACTGCTTAATTCAATGCAACCCTACAGGGACAATTCTAAGAGTTTCCAGGGGGATCAAACCTTTTAATGTGCTGTTCCTCTGTTGTGCTCCGTTTTTAAGCTGGTAGTTAAATAAATATTTAAATAGAAAATAATGTTTTCATATTACTGCCATGGCTTATGATAGGTAATGGGGTTAGGTCATTTTGAAAAAACTGACTGGGTGCTGTGATGCTTGTCTGGAAGTATTAACTTTTTGTTATCGTTTTTTGGCCATAAAAACTGAAAAAGCATTAAATATGTAGTCTTTAAAAACTGGAATTAGAAGAAATGCAAATGTGTTACACCATAATTTGGAGAGTTTTTGTATTCATATATCAAATAAACAACAATTTTTATTCTATGAATAAAACCTGTGTGAACTTCATCTCACATAAAATTATATTACTTAGTGGAGAATAAATTTGTCTATAGTATCGGGTGTTATTTTGGGGTTTAATGAATATTATGAGTTCTATTGGTCGTTGTGGATCGTTTATGGTTGTTTGTTGATGTGATATGCCCCCGGTCCCTCGTCTTCCTGTGTACGCATTTGAGTGTGTGTGCTGTGGTGTGTTAGTTTTGCTGCCACACCAGGCCTGGAGAGTCTCCCGTCTTTGAGCCAGCCACACCTGGGATTAATCACTCAACTGTTGCCGATCTGAATAATCAAGAAGCCCTACATAAGAGAGTAGTGGCGCGATATTGTTAAACTAGGAACACAGTTAGTGCTCATGCTTGTGTTACTGCGTTCTCAGTTATTCTCCTGTTTGAATGGTGAAGGCATATTTGTCGGCTGGTGGATGGGAATGTAGCATAGCATAGCATAGCATCTTTATTTATAACGCACTTTACATCCAACAATGTTGACCAAAGTGCTACAAATATAAAACAGAGAGGAAACAGTTTAAATTACATATAAAATATCTTAAAATTAAAAATAATATAATTAATAAGAAACGTATTAAGAGACATCAACAAGTCCTGCTGTGCTAAAAGCCAAGGTAAATAAATATGTTTTAAGACGTGATTTAAAAACAGATAAGGAAGGTGCCTGTCTAACATGTAAAGGCAACTCATTCCACAGTTTTGGTGCTGCCACAGCAAACGCCCGATCCCCTCTGAGCTCACGATTAGTCCTGGGCACGCTCAGGAGGAGCTGGTCTGCCGACCTGAGGGACCGGGAAGGTATGTATGGATGAAGAAGCTCAGAGAGGTACACAGGGGCAGCATTGGACAAACATTTAAAAACAAATAAAAGCAGCTTAAAATGGATCCTAAAATGCACGGGCAGCCAATGAAGTGAATATAAAACTGGGGTGATATGCTCGTATCTACGAGTGCCAGTTAAAAGGCGTGCAGCAGCATTCTGGACTAACTGCAGTCGAAAAACAGAAGATCGACTCACCCTAAAATAAAGAGAATTACAGTAATCCAGCCGAACGGTTACAAAAGCGTGGATTACTGTTTCAAATTGCTGTCTCGTAAGAAAGTGCTTAATTTTTGCCAGTTGCCTCAGATGAAAGAAACTAGACCTTACAACCAACCCGATCTGGCTTTCAAGCTTAAGCTCAGGATCCATTTTAAAACCCAGATTAACAATCTCTGGTTTATAGAATGATTTCAGGGATTGCAAATCAACACACGGAACAGCAGTGGAGGCAGGTCTGAACACCATTACTTCAGTTTTAGAATCATTAAAACAAAGAAAGTTTAGCGCCAACCACGACTTGATGTCCTCCAGACATGTTTGTAAACGATTTACAGACGACCCATCTTTCTTTTTAAGAGGAACATAAATCTGGCAGTCATCTGCATAATAGTGAAACGAGAGTCTGTGCTTTCTAAAAATTGAGCCCAATGGAAGTAAATAAAGTGAAAACAGGATAGGGCCCAGAATGGAACCCTGTGGTACTCCATGAGACAACGGAGCACGGGAGGACTCACAATTTCCTAAGCGAACTGAAAAGGTTCGGTTTGTTAAGTAAGACCTGAACCATTTCAGAACCTGCTATACCGACACACTGCTCCAAATGCGAGATTAAAATTTCATGGTCTACAGTGTCAAATGCAGCAGTTAAATCGAGTAAAATAAGAATGACACTTTCACCAGAATCACATGATAAAAATATATCATTAAAAATTCTTAAAAGTGCTGATTCAGTGTTATGCATTGCTTTAAAACCAGATTGAAAAATCTCCTGAACATTTTGTGCATTCAAGTATGTGATCAATTGGTCATATACAATTTTTCCAAGACTTTAGATAAAAAAGGGCAGCTTAGATATTGGTCTAAAATGTACTCACTGTTGCGTCTCTTGTTTCCAGGAGGATTGCAGAAACATGTGGAGGACACCGAGGAGGACAAACACAAACACAGGCGCAGGAAGAACACACACACTGTGATCGTTGGCACTGCCTTCTGCTCTCTTCACTGTAAATAAACGCACCATCTTCATCTAGAAGTCCTGCATTTGGGTTCTCTTGCAACCAACCCTGACAGATATTGTGTTACACAGTTAAACCCAGTTCATCTACAGGACGATGCTGTAGTGTGTTTTTTGATATGTCATATACACAAATTTAAAGTGTTTGACATTAACATAATGTTTTACTGTGTTTTTTATACCCCAGCTTCAGTAATATATTTTGACAAATACACTAATGAGGAGTTATATCTGTTTACCATCTACACTGCTGTGTATCTGGAACAGTCCACTTGTTAAAAATGATTTATTAATGTTTTAAGAATCGTATAATTAGCGGTATCAAAGGAATTCTTGGTTTTAATGACCTGATTATTTACCATCCCTGGTACAGATGGAAAGGTTAGTTTATACAGGTTAAGATGAAAATACTAACAAACACATCAAATTTTACTTTGTATTACTAGCTGTAGAAGACATCTTGGAATGACTGATAATAAGCTGTTCTTCACATTTTGTAACTCACAAAAAATACAAAAGTGTAGCAAAATGTCATAATGTTATTGGGATTACATGGACTTCCTCTGGACTGGATTAATGATTGAGTTAATTAGTTGCACTGGTAAGTAGACTTTATTACCATCACACAACACTACAGTGTCTATTTCCCTTATTTATTGTTAAAGCATCCTGAGCCACCAGGAAAATGGAAAGTTAAATAAAATTAGAGTTTGGTTCACAAGAAACATACTCTTATTATCTGCCCAACTTTAATTTTAATGCAGTTAACATCATTATGTGTGTAAAGTGTAATCAACGTGTTAGCAGTGTTGAGTGGACTATTTCTACTTTCTGTGCTTTGAGGCACTTCTGAAGCTCCACAGCCGAAAGTTACGTCTTTGTTTTAAGATTTAATTGGCTGTGGTTTGATCTTAATGGCCCTGGGCAAATATCTGCTTACAATTAAATCTGCAGTGTTTTAAAAAGTTTGTCTATTGTTAAAATGATTTATGAGTGCTTTATAAAATCTGCACTTTGAAAGAAATTGCTTTGTTTCTAAATTTTATAATCTGAATGCTTAGCAGCCTCTGTCTAGAGGGAAATGAGAGGATTTACAGAGCATGATAAAAAGCCCAAGGAAATTACAGCAAAGCCATTCATTATATTTTAGTCGTGATTTCTAGCTGTAGAAAGTATGTAGGAATCATATAGTATTTTGGATTGATTGATAACCAGATGTTCCTCCCAAATGTTCCTCACAGCATTATTGGGATTGTAAGAAACTGACTGAGCTAATGAATCATTTCTGAATGAGCATTAAGTGGATTTTGTTTAGTCACAGAAAGCTAGGCTGGGTGTTTCCTGTTTTTGTGATAAGCTAGGCTAACTAGCTGCTGTCCATAAATGTGACATATAATATTATAAATGTGCTTCCTCAAAAGAACAAAAGAATATTAGCAAAATTTTAATTAATTGTATATTTAATAATCTAGGAAGATTTTGAACAAAAATGTAATTACCCAGCAGCTTATGCTTCTTCCTGCTCCTTTTTGAACATGGACGTTATTTGGAGTTGTGGTTGCTTGTTTTCCTTTTGTTTGCTTTGTTCATTTGTCTCTTTTAATTCTATTTTTTTTATACTTTTTCAACATGTTCAAAATAAAGATGCAATCAATCAATCAATTACCCAGCAGTCTGAAAACAAGTTTACATGTGCAGCATCAGTCACAGTATTATTACACAGTATGCTAATGTTTTTCAAACGTTAGAGCGATATTATCTCATTCTTGTAAAAGGCATTACCTCAACATGCAGACCAGGGTTCAAACGCACACACACATAGACACACACACCTTATCGCTGGTACAACCAGGAGAGACAAACAGATCAATAAGTGCTACCTGCACCAGTCAAGAACTCACAATTACCGTCGGTGCCTGAGGAGAAGATGACATTTGAAAAGATTTCTCAAGATTTCAGCACAGATGGCCATTCAGTCTCTCACCGTCAAAGATTTCGACAAGGTACAGCTCACTTTACAATCAAATTCCGAGCAGTTTCTTTTCTGCTTTTTTTTATACCACCGCTTTACTCCCTCCTTGTGAAATCTGACCTCGTGGAGCTTTCACTCGTTTACTCATTTTGGTTTCAGATACATGTAAAACATTTGTAATAAGTGTGTTACATTGTTTAAAACTACACCACATAGCAGATTGCTCTGTCACCTATTAGGAAAGTCCCCATTATAAATTTATTTGATTTATTTGATTTACTGAAGACAAAATATTTTATTAGGATTTTTAACTGAGAGGAACATTTTCAAGGTCTGTTTGCAGATGGAAGCAGACCTGCGTTTCCACACCACCGACTGGTTATACTGAGTCTGAGCCTGCTGAATGCTGTTCTGCTGATAGCTGCTGTTGTCACTGGGATCTATTGTAAGTATGAGAGTCAATAAGAAACTCCTTAATCTGAAGTATAATCCTTGTTCTGTATGATATTAATCGCACAAAGTAGTAGAACCAAGTACGAACGATGGTATGAAACTGCAGAAATTCATATAATTTACTTTTACATATATGAATATCTGATTGATTAGAGTTTATTTCTAGACCAGAGTTTCTTAATGTTTTCAGTGTGCCAAATGACACAGAGCCACACTCAAGAATAATACTGTATTTGTAATGTTTCATTTTGGACACATTACAAGCACAGCATTTGCGGTTTATGTTGGTATATGCCATTTTCACTATCATGAAACAGGTATGTGTTGCTTTGCAGTTGCTTTGGTCGCTAGATGGTTGCAAGTTTTGCTAGTAGTATGCATGGAAGATGCTAACTTGTCTGCTAACCCTCACTAATTACTTACCGAGCAGTATTAAACTGTGAAAAGTGCAACTAAATGAAAATCGTTTGCCTTCAAATCAAAACTTCTGCCTGGAGAAATGTGTTAGTTGCCGCACAACTTTTACTTTGAAAGCAAATGTCGTCTGTTTCTGCGTTTTGGCACACTGCACCTAGAAGAGTAAATGGTTACTGTTTGTGTGTACAATAGTGTCTTTCATACAAATTAGAGGTAATCAAAGCAATCTGCTGGCAAGGTTTTTCACTCAGCCATAGTCAACAACCTGAGCTCAATTCCAGTCACTGGACCTTTCGGTGAATGTAGTTCTTTGTATAGTTATTTGTATATATTAGCTGGTATCTGTGTCTGTGACAAGCACTCATACTGTCTATAGATGCAATACGCTAACAAATCTACTTTGAAACAAATATGTGGAGCCAACATGACATCTGGAAAACTGAAGATCACAAACCAATGGCTGACATCACTGTGATTAGAGCAATCTTTTATATTGACCCTCTTTTCCTTTCTTATCTTTCAGGTGTCAAAGCCAAAGACTTTCAGGTTTCAGATTCATCTGTTTCACCCTTGTTGATTGAAATGAACCATCTCCGCAACCACAGTGGTATCATCAAAGAGAGGCTGGAGGCCCAGGCAAAACTGGTGAAAGAGCGCACCAACCACGTGCAGCTAAAGCTCCAGGTGAAGCAGTTGAAGGTCGAAAATGATTTGCTTCAGCGACAAATTGAGACACTAAATGCAGCGAAATCAAATCTCCAGACAAATAAAACTCTCTTAGGTAAGTTCAGCCTCCAACCCGTCTTTGTGAACATGCAGCATGCTGTGAATCTGCACGGCTTATTGTGAGATAGTAAATGGTTGTTCGATCTCTCTTGGAACAGAGGAAACCTGCGGCAGATGCCCAACAGGATGGCTCCTTCTTAAAACATCCTGTTATTATTTTTCTCACCATGAAATAAACTCCAGAAAGAACTGGACGGAGAGCAGACAATACTGCATTAATCAGGGCGGTGACTTGCTTGTCATCAATAACTTGGAGGAGCAGGTTGGTCAGAAACGAAGTCTTTTCTGCTTAAATAGTTTATTTTGTAGGCCTCTGTGTCTGGTTTTAAAATGCCAAGAAATTCGAGCCCACCATGTGTGAGAAAGTTATCTTCTGTTAATGATTAAGATTCATTTCAATTTCATAATCTTGGTGCATAAAAAAGTAAAGTCACAATAATATACGTTTAATTTTGGCAATTACTCATTAACTTGTACGTTATTAAGAGCTTTACACTCAAAAACTTTACCATCTCTGCTCGTGTGTGGGTCTGTGTGGGTGGGATTTAATTAGACTGAACTTACTTTAAACTGGCAAAGTAAGAAAAATAGTACTCGTCTAACTTCTTAGAGCAAATATGTGACATCTTGATAAAGGCTAACCACGGGGAGCAAATGTTTTATATTCATGATAGCATTGCTCAGCTATGCCTAAACGAAAGGGCTTTTAAATTCTGTTTGATCACACCATACTTATTAGTCATCATTTAAAAATCAAATTGAATGTCTGCTTTCTCATAGCTCCTCATAACCGACAACTTTCAAAAAGTGAGCAGCTCTGGCGTATGGTGGCAGAATGGATACTGGGTCGGCCTCACTGATGTGGTGACAGAGGGAACGTGGGTCTGGGTTAACAATGTGACCGAGGTGGATTCAATGTAAGCGACTCGTGAAGCGCTATGATTCATTACTGACAAATGTACTGAAAACAAGTTCCTCTCTAAGCGATTGTGCTTTACTCAAGGTACTGGAGAAGTGGGCAGCCCGACAGCTCTGCTGAGGAGAAGAAGAACTGTGCTGCTTTTCTTTTCTTTACCGATAATGTGAAGACGTGGTACAATGTAGAATGTAGCAGCAAACAGCTGAACTGGATCTGCGAGATGGAGCCAAAGCAAACCACAAGGGGACCTCAATGATGATGTTTCAAAATAATAATAGCAATAATGTCATAAAATCTCTCAAATAAATTAGCTGTAACTTGACATGTGAAAAATCGTGTTATACACTACTGTAAGTGACACGTTTTCGGTTTTTTTGTTTTTAAAGTATTTTGACAAAACTCAGCATATTCAGTTGTATATGGGGGAAAAATGTCTGCAGTATCTGGTCTGTAATGATTTTAAGATGTTTAATGCTTAACTTGATAAAATAAAAATTCATCCTTAAAGAATATTTCTGATCCTAATCTTGTTTAGATGATCTGAAAACTCTGCTGTTCCTTTACCTCCTGTAAATGGTTAACAAGTAAACTTGATTTTCTGTTTGCAATGTTACACACACACACATGCGCAAACACCCGCAGGGCAATGTCCTAACAAATACTCTCTCTTTCTCGGGTGATCTTGCTGCACTCTTCTCATCTCGTCGATTAAAATGGAGGACAACGGAAATAATGCTGGCTTTTTTGAGAGTACTTATAACAAACTGACTTATCCTGAGGACATTAGTGAAGATGACCACTCTTTCAACTTGAACCAGGAGAGGCAACAAGGTAAATGACAAGAAGATGAATGATGATTAAGGAAATATGTTTAATGTTTCTTCTCTGCCAGAAACTAGCTTTGCTCTTCACAGCACTTTTTATAACTTGTGATTACACATCCACATTTTCGCCCACCACTTGGGTGTTATTTTGATGTTGCTGTATTGTGCATGGCTCTGATATTTATCCACCACTTATCTGTGTAGTGTCCCTGTCCACAATGGGGCCTGGATCCTGTTTAAATCGTTACAAAGTGCTTGCAGTGAGCCTGGCAGTGCTCGCTGCCTTTCTGCTGGCAGTTGATATTGGCCTGGGAGTCTATTGTAAGTGATTACTGCAAGCTGCAGTTTTTGTTATATTGAGAAATTTTTTAAATCTTAAAAAAAAGGTTCAACAGGAGGGAAAATAATCATCTCTTGTGGGAAAATCGAGGTCAACAAAAAGGGATTTGATTTATTCTCACCTGACTCTTTTTATCTAGTTTTAACTCCCTGGTTTGGTTTTCCACCCTGTAGCTTCACTGCTTATTCACCTGTGTTTGTGTCCTCAATAGGCCGCTAATTTTACTGAAAAGTCTCCAATAAATACTGTTTCACTACCTGCCTGCCACTAAAGAGTAGCTAAAGTTAGCAGGTGAATACAGAAGAAACATTAGCATCTATGAAACCCTCAAATTCATGGAAACCAAAATAATAAAGCCCAGTCTTTTTTTCATAAACTGTATAAGGTTGTTTTGTGTCAGCTTTCTAAAACGTTTGTTTCTGCTGCCCCCAAGTGATCAAAAAAGAACAAAACAGAAAATGCAGGTTTAATTACTAACATTACAAATGTACCTTAAATAACGGTCACTAAAGTAGCATCAGGGAAATTCAGAGTTTGTATTCCCTTAGAAAAACATATTAGTTGACGCATTTTTTTCACCTGGTTGCAAACACAGAAAACTTTCTATACATGATTTAAGCTACAAAATATGAGGAGCGCTTGATTATTTGATTAATAAATATGTTAATTTATAAAAATGGTTATATGCTTTTGCATCAGTGACTATTATATCAGGTTTTGCCCACTTTATTGGCTAATATTAGATTACTACAGATCACTCATGCCAAATGCCAGACTAATTTGAGTTTTAATTTAATTGCAGTATTTCTGTTACATAATTTATCCATATAAGAGGACCAACAAGCTGATGACTCAGTTGTAAATACCTGTTACTTCTTTGTTTAGAAAGGGTCACCAGAGCAGGTGGATCAGCAAACGTGGCATATTTAACCAGGATTTTTGTTTCCAATCTTGAACTGGGATCTTTTAGTTGTTAGGCAAATGTATTAACAACTATACTAAAGAGCTATATGTTATTTAATTATGGGACAATTTAAAAAAAGGAAAATGTGTAAACTGTCTTAGCTGTGACCTAAAAACTGCCTGTGTTCTAGATAATAAATAAATATTTTTAAGTGAGGTTTGTCTGCTACTGCTCTTTTGTTATTTCCGTTAGAGTTCTTTCTTCAGCTGTACCAACACCGTAAAAATTGTACAATTTTTAAAGTCTTCCTTTTCTCTACTTTCAGACTACAGACTTACTTATGGGAACCATTTAGTAACAGACATCAGCACTGAGATTGCCAAATTGCAGGCTACTTACAACGCTGCACTCCAAAGCAAGACTGAAGCCAAACAGGAGGTGGCGAAAGAGATCAAGTCACAGCAAATTACCAAGTGGGAGCTTGATCATCTGAACAGAAGGAAAAAAGATACCGAAAAACTAATAGACAGAACTGAAACGGAAATAGCGATGTTGGAATCCCACATGCCAATGCTCAGTGAGAGGCTTTTTCTTTATTTATTATGTTAATAAATGCTCTATAATTGTTATGTCATTCCTTTTTTTTGGTTTTTGTCGACAGAAGAGGGCTGCAGACAGTGTTTGCCAGGCTGGACTGTCATTAATTCCATGTGTTACTTCTTCGCTTTATCTGAGGAACTCTCACGGAGATCGTGGATGGATGCCAGACATTTCTGCAAGAGGCAAGGAAGCGACTTATTGGTCATCAACAGCAGAGAGGAACATGTAAGACTCAACATTTAAACAACACAATGAAACTTACTGACAAACTTACAAGTTCCACTTCTCATGAACAGCACTAGCATATATGAATGTTTGTGTGTGTTTTCACGTACATGTGTATTTCCTATATTGTCAGATGGCCCTTGCTGAAATTGTAAAAATGTCTCGAGACCCCTCGAGATCGCTTGCCCACAGTGGATTCTGGATTGGACTGAGAGATGCAGATGTGGAAGGAAGTTGGACATGGTTGGATGGGACAAGGGTGGAAGAGGGGTATAAATTCTCCTAAAAATCTTAATCCATAATGACAAAGTGAAAGAAGTTTTCTTGCTATTTTTTTTTTCCAAATCAACATTTACATAAGTACTCACAGCCTTTGCCATAGCACTCAAAATTGAGCTCAGATGCATCGTGTTTCCACTGATCACTTGTCAGAGGTTTCTATTAGTTTTTGATTGGAGTTCATTGTGGTAAGGATTGTATCAATGCACAGATCTGGGAAAGGGTACAGAAACATTTCTGCACCCCTGAAAGTCCCGATAATGGCTCCATCATCAGTAGATGTAAGAAGTTTGAAATCACCGGGAATTTTCCTGGAGCTGGACGCCCAGCCAGTCTGAGCAATCAGGGTGTAAGTGCCTTAGTCAGCGAGAACTCGATGGTCACTCTAATAGAACGACTCTCAAAGTTGTTCAGGTCATGTGCAAAATGCTCTGGACTGATGAAACAAAGATTGAACTCTTTGGGCTGAATGCCAAGGATCAGCACCTAGCTAATTCTATTCCTACAGTGAAACATGGTGGTAGCAGCATCATGCTGTGGGGATGTTTTTCAGCAGCAGGAACTACTCAAGACTACTCATGGTCGAGTTGATGATAACTTGCTCCAGAGCACTATGGACCTGGGACTGGGGTGAGGGTCCATCTTCCAACAGGACAACAACCCTAAAGGTGGCAAAAGGTGCTTCAACAAAGTATTGAGTACTGAGCAAGGGCTCCGAATACTTATGTACATGTTGTATTTTTGTTTTTTGCTTTTAATGTGTTTGCAAGAATTTCAAGCAAATCTTTCTGACTTTGTAATTATAGGCTGTTGTGTAAAACTTTGAAGTGAAAAATGAATCAAATCCAGTTTGGAATAAAGTAATGTAATGTGACAAAATGTGGAACAAGACAAGCGATATAAATTCTTTCTGAATGCCCTGTAACCATTATCCACTTGTGATAACGTAATTTAAGTATATGTCAGTTTATTAATTTAAGTATATGGTAATTTCCCATATATCTCTGTCAGAGCACACAAAAAAACTAAGCAAAGTTACCCATCTCTTGTTTCAGGTACTGGGATAATGGAGAGCCTAACAACCAAAACAATGAAGACTGTGCTGCTATGTATCCCAGAGAAAACCCCTTTCATTCATGGAACGATGCTCCATGCCACTGGAACCTGAAATGGATTTGTGAGAGGACACCAAGACCTTTTAGCTCTAGCTTAAATGTTTAAACAGAGAGTCAAGTCTGGCTTTAAGGCATGGACGTGTCTTCTGAACTTTTTTTTTTCTTTATTGTCATGTCTTTTGCAAGAGACTACAAAATGTCCAAGAAGATTAAAATAAGAAAAATACATCTGAGTTATAAAGGCATCTACAAAATGTATGCAAATTCTGTAACTGTTACAAATAAAACCTTTACCTTTACTATGTACACATATTTTACCACTGTACAGATTTGTACACTAACATGCCAGTGTTTCAGGAAAACCTTTACATGCCCTCTATAGGTCATGTTAGTTAGAGCCCAAACATTTACCATTTAATGGGCTATGACTGAAACACTTGACCTAGACATTTTAGACCTAGCGTTGCATCAACTACAGCCTTTTGAAACTCTACTGAAATAGAGTTTTACAGAGAACAGTGAAAAAATCAAAGAAACCAATGAGCTTATTCTGTACACAACAATAAGTCTACAACAGCTCAAGCTGGAATCAAATAAGGACAATCACATCACTTTTCAACACTGAAGTGTAGAATTACAGTTAACAATTAACACTTCAAAGGGTCACCACTCATTTTGCTAAAGAGCTTCAATTGTAGATGTATCTAATAAACTGGCAGTTAATAAATAAACACAAGCCAAAACTAATCCCACTTTGTCCATTTCCAAGACTAACCTACCAAATTATGACTTTTTTAAAGACTGGGTTAAAAGAAAACCCGGTCGTTTGCAGTGCTGTGGTCCCTCACAGCACTGCAAAGTGCTGTCGAAGTTGCTTGAGAAGCTGCTGAGTGTCGACGTGTTCTGGGAAAGCGTCCTCAGATTTTTGGGCTGCACTGTAGCTGCTCTGAAGGTCCCCAAGCTGGACACAGGCAAGAAGATGTAAAGATCACACTTTGTCACTTTTAATTGCACTGCATGATTTGGTTGGACCTTGATAGCGATAAATTACCTTTTCAGAGAGAATGGAGAGATTGAAGTGTGGCTCGTACATATGGGGGGCCAGTGATGCAGCAGTCTGAAGGAAGCCTTTAGACTGGATTAAAGGCAGGGAAACAATTAACACCTGTCATGAAAATGTATATGAAAATGCAGTGTTTACAGATTTAAAGTTTTATTTTCTTTAATTGGAGCAATCCTTACATCACGTTGCCATCATCATTATCACTATGAAAAAAGCTGGAAAACCCTGAAAATTTAACCTTTTAAATCATGTTGGCAGCAGAAGTGTTAAGCAGGTGGATTGCTCATGCTCCTCCTGCTACTGGAAAAATAAAATCCCATATATCTCATGACGCTTTGTCTCATATCAAGCTATTATTGCTAAATTGCTTTATTGCCTAGCTCTTTGTTGGAGTAACAGGGGCTTACTGAATATTGGATTTATATTACGCAAGTATAATTTGAGAGATATCTTTTGATAATATGAGCTGGATTACAGTTTATATGACGCTAATAACTACATTTTAGTGATTTTCTTATAATGGGCTGTGTTATATCACATTAGAGGTCGAAAGGATCACCATTATGATTTCATTACTCATATTTTAGCAGCTTAACAAAGACAATGATTCAAAACTATGTCTTTACCTGTTCAATGTGACCTTTTCGCAGCTCCAGCACAGCCAGGTTGTTATAAGCTTCAGCATGGTCATTATTAAATGCCAAAGTCAGTTTAAAGCACTGATAGGCCAGAGTCAAGTCCCCTATTCCCTGTAAACACAGAGCATATTCTAAATTATACAATGTAAGGTTGTCATTTCAATTAACTAAGTGTCAAATTATGTTAACTGTGAACCATATATGGAAGTGAAACATATTAAGTAATTTTCTGTTAACTCACAACAGCCACGTGTCCTATGTTGTACCAGACATCAGCCTGCTCTTCATCATTGGCCACCAGGGCCAGAGCCCTCTCAAACGAGGACAGAGTCATATCGTACTGCTGGGCGTAGAAACAGCACAGGCCCAGGTTGTTGTACAGTTGGCAATTATACACTCCCATCTGGAGCAGCCGTCTAGCAATGGGTGAAACATATTAAATCACAGATGGTAAATAAAATCTCATCAGATAAATTGTAACAACACATTACACAAATTGTACAGAAAGTTTGTCTGACCTATAGAAGCGCAGAGCAATCTCAGGCTGATCTGTATAGAAGTGATTGCTGCCTATGCAGGCTATGGCCTCCACGTGAGTGTTGTCCTGCTTCAGGACGTCTTTATAGTACTCTGTCGCTGATGAAATGTTGTTCATCTCCTGTCAAAATACCATTTTAGAGACAATTAATGAATGGACGGATGGATGGATATCTTTAATGATTCATGCAACTGTTAAGGTTATACTCCATGCAGCTATGGTGGAAAGTTTACATTAGTCCAGTGGTTCCCAAATAGCTTGGAGGCAAGTCGTTAAGATTTTGTGTCAACCAAACACTATTAGTGTAACTGAAAGCCCTTTTGTCTTTAACCTCAGCAATTCAAGTACTAAGGTTAATATTGCAAAGAAGCTGGGAGTGAAGCTGTTGTTAAAGCTGGCTTCCTTTAACTATGACTGCTTGCATTTCTCCACTTCAGTGACTTTGAAAATGTTACTCATTCCTTAATTTCGTCCAGACTTGACCATTAACAGTCTGCTTTCAGGTGTCAGCCTGTCACTGCTTGGCCAACTAAAGCTGGCCAGCTCTTAACTGGCAAGTGTAAGCAAGACCACACATCACTCATATTAGCTTCCTTTATTGGTTGTCAGTAAGTTTTAATTTTTTTTTCTTTGATTTTAAGTGATTGCAGGGGTTGGCACCTCCTTAGCTCTCTCATTGAGCAGGTCTGCTGAGCAGAGGCTTTTGACTGTCCTGTGGTCCAGATTAAAACAAAGAGGAAATCAGAAACTTAAATGTACCTTCTCCTACATTGTGGAGCAAACTGCCTATTTACATCAGGGGCATTAGACATTTTTGAAAACGGTCTTTGGTTATTACACCAGACTAAGTCCTGATTACTTTGAATTGTGCTTTTACTGTTTTTGTTTTTTCATTTTGTTTTTTGTTTGTTTTGATTGGGGCTGCAGCTGCAGTAATGCGGACGCTGCACCGGTCCGTCGTGGTGAAGAGGGAGCTGAGTGTAAAAGCGAAGCTCTCAATTTACCGGTCGATCTACGTCCCTACCCTCACCTATGGCCACGAGCTGTGGGTAGTGACCGAAAGAACGAGATCGCAGATACAAGCGGCAGAAATGAGCTTCCTCCAAAGGGTGGCTGGCCTTTCCTTTAGAGATAGGGGGAGAAGTTCGGCCATCCGGGAGGGGCTCAGAGTAGAGCAGCTGCTGCTCCACATCGAAAGGAGCCAGCTGAGGTGGTTCGGGCATCTGACAAGGATGCCCCCTGGGCGCCTCCTGGGCGAGGTGTTCCAGGCATGTCCCACCGGGAGGAGGCCCCGGGGCAGACCCAGGACACGCTGGAGAGATTATATATCTCGGCTGGCCTGGGAACGCCTTGGTATTCCCCCGGATAAGCTGGAGGAGGTGGCTGGGGAGAGGGAGGTCTGGGCCTCTTTGCTTAGGCTGCTGCCCCCGCGACCCGGCCCCGGACAAAGCGGATGAAGATGGATGGATGGATGGCATTTTGTTTTCTTTATTTAAGCAGTTTTATTGTCTTATTATTTTATGACATTTATTCTTTTAGCTGTTAAGCACTTTGGGATACATCATAAAAACATTCCACTTGACTTAACGGCACAAAAAACAACAAATTTAATTTAATTTTAATATACCAGAACACATCAGCGTCCCTGACTGAGGAGGATCAAATTTGTGATGATGTAAAACTGAACAATTTCTTCTGAAAGGAAAACCACACAAAACCATCTAAAAGGAAAATAACTGTGAAGAAACTACATCTTTTGGATCCAGCTGAGAGTGCCAAACAAGCTAAAGAGCCACTCTGAAACCCGAAAACACTTCTAAGAGACACTCTGTCTACTGGAAAAGAGCTTTTGAAATGAACCACAGGCAGCTAGAACTTGTCTGAATTGTGTTAAAGTGCCTGATAAGGAGTGGTTATGTGATATTCGACAATGCAATTAAATAAAAAACTGACTATATTCGAGATGATGATGGCATACTGTACCTCATGGATACGAGCTATTCCTGTTAGAAGGGTAACCTCTCCAGGGAAGTGATCCAGGCCTTGCTTGAAAAGACTGAGAGCCGTTATTGGCTGATCCATACGCTGATAAACCTAAAGGAAAATGAAAACAAGAATAGTGATTTCAAGAAAAACATTGCTTTAGAGAGAGAACCTTAAAATGTACAAACCCTTGGCAATAATCACTACCTTTGCGAGATAGAGATACGTATCTACCATCTCTTGGTGGTTGAGAGCTGATCGAAACTGTTTTTCTGCTTCTCTATATAAACCAAGCCTAAGAGGAGAGAAACAGACATTACATAATTTCATATACATAAATGTTAATTTAATCAAACATTGCAGTTGAATAATATGAAGGATGGTGTGTTACTTGCCTGTAGTAGCATTTTCCCAGCTGAACTTTCCACCACCAGTCTTTGAACTGTGCATGTTCAGTAGCTTGAGCAGCTAAATCCAAAGCCTGTACAAGGAATATAATATTTCTTTACATACAGTCCTGTCATCTAATGTGTGGTAGTTTTCTTTACACTGCAGATTTGTGTATCGCTTACATTTTTCACATCATTTTCATGATGGAAGATGTACTCAAATAATGTCTGTGGAGAAAGAAGATTGCTTCACATGCAGGAAAAACACAATAGAAAACAACTGATAAATGTCTGGAAGTCACAGTTTGAGTCTTACCCTGGATAAATTGGGTTTTTGGGAATACTTGGCCAGATTTAGTCTAGACAAGTTTATAAATGGTCCTTCGGGATTTGTTAGCATTGAAGCCTAGAAAAACAATAAAAGAAATAGGTCATGCTAAGAATTTCAGGCTTTCAGTGTAACATAATAAATAATAAAATGACTGTTGCTATCAGTCTTACATTAATATATTGTCTGCTGCATAAATTAACTTGAGAAAATGCAATAGAAACAGGCATGTGTCAAACATGGCCTTTAGTAGGAATACTCACTGTCCCCAGACGAATGAATCTACCAGAAGAAGCGGTGACAGGACGAGCTGTGCTTGCAGTACGTGGGGTTTTGATGGCCTGCTCCATTGTCCCAGGGCGCCCGG